ACCATACATAAACTTGCTTGGCATGAACAATCTAATACAGATATGCTTCAAGGTTTGGCCTTGGGGTCTGCCCACTCCCTTGGATCTTATAAGGAGAATATTTTGCCATTATTGCTTAGATATACAGGTGAGCGATAAGGCCCTCTGGGCCTCTTGTTATTTTAACCAAACAATCTAGACTTCCGTGTTTCATTTGTGTTACGTGTTTATGCTTTGGGATTATGGTATTTACATACTGTAAGAGTACACATTTTATCGTATTATCAAATGTTAACAGATACGCACTGTGGTGAATAGTTTTACTCACAATATATGCCGAAGAAAAATAAAGAGATAAATTTCGACGAGCGCAATCATAAATAAATGCAATGTTTAAATCTGAAAAACAGCTGAAATTAGAAAACCGTTAAAATATGTATGTTTACTGTATATAGAACTAAAGCGTGTATAGTTAGCATATTTATCTTACATTATAATTATAATTATAAACACGTGACAATTTAAACCATCAGTGAAGTACATCAAATATATAACTAAAAGATGAATATCACACATCACCTTATAAACACAATGAGGTTTTCACTAATTTTCTGTTTAAGTATCAATTATTCAACAGGTATTTCCTAACTCCATATTTACATTGATTATTTGAAGATTTGAAGTGTACGCAATATCTGTTTATTTTTTTACGCATATAATCTATTCATATTTCCTTCTTGCTTTTTTCATTATTACGGATATTGCTTTAAATTTTTACATCGGATAGTTTTGTTTTATATTAGAAGGGTGAAACAGCTGTATGTTGCAGTATACATGTATTTCATTTTTGACATGCTGTATGTTTTACCAAATTCTAAAGGTGAGGTCACCTGTGTGTTAACTATTTGTGAATCATACAGACGAAAGTGACGGTTTATGTATTCTGCGTCAAAAAGTAAAGTTGTCGTATTTTCAAATAAAAGAATCATAAACATTAATTGTACTGTAGGTATCTTATTAATCAAAACAAGCGTGTAAAAAATGACGCTTGTTTTGATCAATAAGATACCTACATTAGGAACCTTTTACGTTCTGATGCACATCAATGCGCACTAAACTCATTAAATGTTGCTAAAATTGTAAAAAATAAAGTCTAACCGTCTGCGCTTTACGGATGTGAACTCTGGGTACTTTCCAATACTGAATTTTTGATGTTAGAGAGAGCCCACCATTTTACTGTTAAGCCAATCAAAGGTTTCGGAAAAAGAACAAAAACTGATATGTGTACTTCTTTAATCGGATGGTTTTCTATAGAGGCGTATATCAATAATAAAAAGCTTTTGTCTTTAGGCAGGATCTGCAGAATAAAAAGAAGTAACTTAATCTGCAAGAGTGTTCATTTTGAGGTATTTTATGTATACAGTTAATTATTATTGTCAAAAAGGTTATATACCAGACATTGTCAGAATGCTAAAGAAGTATTATCTATATGAATACATTGTACTTTTTCTAGATGATGGTGTTTTTCCAAAAAAAATGTATTGGAAGTCATTGATTTATAAATCCGTAACAAATTTTGAAACTAATACATGGATGAAAAGAATGTCTAATGACACAGACTTTACACATTTTGTATTGCTACAAGACTGTCTAAAACCTCATAATTTATGAAAATAAGCCTTGCGGCACCCAAATTGTCATGACAATATCGGATCTATAATTATACTGATTGTATCTACACGTGTAGGTAACATACAGCTTGTATGCCATCATTGTGGCTATTTCTAAACAGATTTTGTATCTCATGAGATGTTGCATTGTCTGTAACAGAAAATCTTCTTGACAATTTATGATGTATAATTGCCTGCATTTCAAGTATTGAACTCAGGTCATATCTGCATTCACTGCCTGAATATTCATTAATTCACATTTTACTAGGAGGCCCAATGACCTATCATTTAAATGAATTTGATTTTGAAGGATTTAGACTAGAATCCTAAATGCGATAAAAAGAATGTTTAACTCATATACATAATAATATTGATAATAATAATGTCTTACAAATACTTCCTTTTTTAATATAAGAAAAATGGTTATTTTTTCTAATGTAGGCAAGGTATCATTTTGTTATTTTTGGTTTTTTGGGGTTTTTTTTTACTGGCTACATAAACCAGTAATATATCACTGATATTTAACAATATGTATATACGTTTCTAAACTTCTATGAATGCCACGATTGTTTCAATGTATGTATTCATTATGTATTATCATGCTCTTTAATTTGGAGGAAATAAAGATGATATATAAACACAATATGGTTTTCATTAATTTTCTGTTTAAGTAAAATCATTTCTTCACACATAATTCTGTATCCGACACTAATTCCATTTTTCTATTGGATTTCTGCATCCGCTTAACAATTATTAAATAGGTGTTTCCCAAATCCATATTTATGTTGATAGATTCAAATTGGAGATTTGAAGTGTACGCAATATCTGTTTATTATTTACGCATATAATCTATTCTTATTTGCTTCTTGCTTTTTTCAATATTACGGATATTGCTTTAAACTTTTACATCGGATAGTTTTGTTTTATAGTAGAAGGGTGACACAGCTGTATGTTGCAGTATACATGTATTTCATTTCGGCATGCTGTATGTATTTCCAAATTCTAAAGGTGCGGTCACCTGTATGTACAATTGTGCAATGAGCTATCTAAATACGAAGGTGGATCATTTTAATAAAATATTTCTTTACAAAATGCCATTTTTGGTTCACTACGAAACTAATGGGTTTTTTTAACAAAATAGCATGTATCTTAAGGACAAGTATCTGCAACAAACTGAAGCTAAATTTCGACTTATGCAACATTCACCATTAAAGATGACTTCATATCTAGTTCTAGAATAATAAATCGTCGGCTAATGCAACACGCATTTATTAAGACGATACTAGTTATCTCCCTTACACCAATTTAATCAAAATATTGCATACGTATACACGTTTAAACCTACTTTTAGTTAATACGACGTTTAATAGCAGACGACAGTTAAAAGAAAAAAGATATCTTTATTATTTTACAACAATTTTTAAACAAGTTATTTTAACTTATATAAACCACTCTTGTTGCCCCGGATATTAACAGTTTACACGTTATTTACCTGAGTTAGGGAGAGAGTGTCTAATTACTGTACACAAGGAGAAGACTATTTTACGTTAGTTTTACACTGAGTTATTAATTTATTTATTTTTCAAATAGAAGACTTCCGCGTTATTGTAAACCAAATACCAAATTCTTGCTAATCAAGTAGCTATGTAAACCTTACAGCTATCTCTTGTATGTTAGTATTTATCTTGCTTTTAGTTTAGTTTAAACTTTATTTTATTATCGGTTAAATATTCCAGAAATACAAACATGATATACATATAGCATTCGTAAACAAGTACAAAGTACTTATGTTAATCCGTCCTTTTTTTGTGAAACGGCGATTGGACGGCACTAACGAATATTATACATATAAATATAGACAAGATATAGTATATATAAGATATGTTGTATACTATTTTATGGAAGAGACGAGGATAGGAGAGGAAGGAGGGAAAGAGGTGCAAAATGGCTTAAAGAAAAGGTTATTGGGGTAAGGTGTATAGCGGAGTAAATTGACTGCATTATGGGAAGGAAACTGGCTGAAGTGTATTTTGTAAATGTACATGTCGATGACTGAGCATGTCAATGAGGTCTTCAACACATAATTAATAAATTGCATATAATGAACATTTTCCATCCTGACCCCTGAATATTCCAACATCCAGTGGTGTACAACAACCAGCTGTAATTTTAAATATTAAAAGTAACATCAAACAAGACTATGACAATTTGTTGTGTGTATCCATACTGCGTTAAAAGCTGTCGTTGATGAAACCAAATATCAGGATTAACTTTTGTAAATGCAATGCGGATATTTTAGGGTGAACCAACAGTTAAAATAATAGCTGACGGTAAAACGTTATCTAAAACCTTACCATGCTGCAAGCATATTCTGAACGTAAACTTCAAAATTTCGCATTCTAAGTGATACAGTAACTCTATCCTACACGATGTCAGTGAGTTTACTATGGGTTTGAATGGAATTTGAAGCACAAAATGAATAGGATGTCGAAAAAGAAGACTTTTTCATGTAAATGCCGTATACGAAACGTTTACTTGAGGATCACTGTCCCGTTACACTGTATACAGTAGCCACGTAATTTCCGTTTTGATAATGCAGTTGGGCAAAAAACTCCCGTTGACCAGGCCAGGGATCTCAATCGGTTACAGCTATAGTATTACAATATGAGGTCCAGAGTTCGAATTCCGGTCTAGACCCGATATCTTTTTACACGCAGAACACTATTGTTGATTAAATTTTGTTTATTTCATCTGTGTTATTTCTCATTGAAGTCCCGCAAGATAAGGGTTTCTTTTTAGAAATGATTTATTAAAGCTATAGTCATGCCGAGAAAACAGTTTCCAATACGTAGTATAGTTTCTGGCAGAGGGACAAGGATCCTTAAATTACGAAATTCGATTATCATATCATTATTGTTACTATGGTAATCTCAGTTTTTGGGGTTTTATTCCCCTCATAGTTATAGCAGGGAAGTCGGTAGTGAATCATTTGTGACATATTAACTCAGCTGAACATGTGTGTACTTTTTAAATAAATAATATCATATTTACACTACTTTGTGTATCTTGTTGTGTGCTTTAATTTTCAAATTAATAGTTCCTCAATATACATGTACATTTGTATGACCCAGAGCAATTCCTATGCTACCGCTAGGGTTACCTCCCCTACATCATTTCCTATTTCAACAGTTTTCACGGTGTATTAAATTCAATTGACCTTCGAAGCCCCGGGCATTGCGCAGACGAGCCTTTGTCACCAATACCGCAATGCGGATACGAATGACACATGGAGGACGCACACACACACCATTGTAAACAGACATGACCCGTCGGTAACCATTGTAAAAAGGCATTTGTCTTTACGCAACCCCTCAATCAGAACGATGTCGAGCGATATCAATCTAAGTCTTTTGTTGTCGTAGTTCAAAGATCTCAACGATTTATTTACAACCCTTTACACAACAACATCACGGCTTTGGTTTATGGGTTCAAATAAACTCAAACAGTTAATGTAAAGAAGATCAGAACATTCTTGCAGGATGGTAAGTTCATTTTATCTCTCATTTTACCTAACTTATATTTCAACAATCGTTTTATTTCCAAAATATCCACATTTACATTACAGTACTTCCTTGGTAGTTGAGTAACTTACAATACTTCATAAAACGTGCTAGTGCTTACACGCGGTAGATCGCAGGGTTAAACGATACATTACATTGTAACAATTATGTGTACCCACGTTCCCGCCAGCCTTAATAAACTTACTGTAATCAGAACGCTGTTGGAACAATTGGAAATTGGCTCATAGAAACTAGGAGGAACACTTACATGTATGGATTATACTATGAGGATGTATGTTTTCGACGATTGTAAAACTTTTCCTTTCATTATAGGCTCGATGCTTAGCTTTCTCGTATTGATTAAGCCTTTGTTTATAAGCGGGAAATACCTCTCCTGTGTGATGGAAAGCACGTAAATCTCAATTCGAGGATAAGAATTTTGACAAGACTTTTGTGGGAGCTACATTTAAAAACCTTAGCTGCAGTGTAATGGTTTTTCTGTCTGCATTACCGCAGGAGTGATCAATTATTTTTCTTTTACATTTTTCGACCTTAAAAAAAGTTTAAATGGTGAACTTCTCATTAAGGTTGCATGAAATGTGTGACAAAATTGATGATGCTACACTGGTTGCAATGCATAAAGTGATGATGACATAAAAGCACGTGTGAGATGTCTTTTGCTATAGATCGTGAGGCCAGAGGTTATCTTTTCACTAGCAAAGCAAAAATTCACCTGTAGAGTGAGGGACATCCTCGATACTCAAGGGGTTACTCTCACTTTCGCTCTCTGCACCCCTGGAATATGTCATAGCAAAATTGAAGTCTCAACGTGAACCACCCTGTTTATGAGACAAGAAGACTACTTCGATCCTTTGATGTACATCAAAAGAATCTCGCGGTCGCGTAACGATAAAAAATCGACTGACTTTGAAGTCGGGTGTCGCCCCTTTGTCATATTCAAAGGACAGGTATCAGCGTTGCGATTGGTAAGGTTTTTTCATCTGAGACCAATCAAGCAGCTGTCTTTGTGCCTTCCATTTTGCTATGACATATTCCAGGGGTGTAGAGAGCGAAAGTGAGAGTGATCCCTGGATATCGAGGATGAGTGAGAGTGATCCCTGGATATCGAGGATGAGTGAGAGTGAGCCCTAGATATCGAGGATGAGTGAGAGTGATCCCTGGATATCGATGATGAGTGAGAGTGATCCCTGGATATCGATGATGAGTGAGAGTGATCCCTGGATATCGAGGATGAGAGAGACATAACATGTCAATATTTTGTATCATTAATTTCATTAATCATGTTGACAATAAACATATAGCAAATATAAACACTCTAATACCTCTGAATCGCCCTCGTGTCTGGTAATTAAACTACTGGATCTATTTATTATAAAAAAATCGTTTCTTTGCCAATCATTTTTAATAGCAGAAAGTTCTGTTTGATATAGGAAATAGATATTCCATAGCATGATTATGAATATAGCAGATCGGAACACTATAATGATGGGAAAATACAGGGGCCTCAATTATAAGACTATTACCCCATATGTTAAGCGTTGGTACTTTTTAAGAACTCGTTAACCAAAAAACCAACAAGGAAAGAACCGACGCGTCAACAAACCCACAATAATTCAAACTCACAATCGATGAAGCTAGGGCAAGATAAGAACAAAGGAAAAAAATACATGGAAACCAATCAGTGAAAAAGTACAAGATGAATAGACCAGATGATCCGGAAGGGTAAGCGTCTCCTGCTTCATCGACGGAACCAGCTATGTCAATCATAGTAAAATACAAGTAATGTCACGTCCTCACGCCGATAACTAAGGTAGTGACAACAAAACCACAAGGCACTCTAATGAGTATAATAAAAACATCGACTTTCATATCACACAAAGAAATTGTATATTTCCTTGCACGATACTGAGGGCTACCACACAATTTGTCCATAGGCTTCATCGATCTGCATCTTACGAAACCCTATGTTATGGGTTTGTCCGTAAGCAGTCGACATCTAGCACGGCAGTCGTGAAATTTGGAGCACGTTTAAAGCTTTCAAGATAGCTCGCGAAATAATTTAAAAATAATTTATTCCAATAAAGTCATGTAGTTCTGATGATGTGTATATGCAAATGTGCATTGTTTCAAATATGGTCAAACTATGTACAATTATACATAACGAATGCAAACGTATTCATCGATAGCGGTATTCTTTATAAAATATTCTAAATGACGTTTTATGTTTCGTTTACAGTCGGTAGAAAAACTTTCAGAAGACCAGATAGCAGGTATGTATTTATTATCGCTACACAGAAACTATGTAATTATTATTATCAATGTAATCAGTGCAACCATTTAATGATAGGAAACTATCTCTCCACGAGGCAGAATGTTTCGTTGACTTGAAGATGCACAGTTCTAGGCCCGTACTCATGAAACCGTTATTAAATAAGCTAAAGTATAGATTTTGTGCTCAAACCAACATTCTTGCAACTTGCTTAAATCATGTGACACATTCAATAGGTCAAATGTAAATATTGCTAACGGTATTCGGCTTTTAGTCTCACCAAAACTTCTTAATCACTGAGAAAATGTGGAATTTTAATATTTTATCAGCGAAACAAGGAAATTGGGCTTGAACACGGAATCTGATTTTGAGCATGAGAACGATTTCATGAATACGGTCCCTGATAAGACATTTACCAGGTCACAAACAGAACTGTGTTGCATACCAACACAAACGCTTTTCAAACGTCGTGTATATCGCTTAAACAAGTGCATACAAAGGGTTTTCAAAAACGGATCTCTGCATAATTTCTGTAAATAAATAAGAAATCATTAAACTTTACATGTTTTCTCAACAGAGTTTAAAGAAGCTTTCAGCTTGTTTGACAAAGATGGCGACGGTACAATCACGTCTAAGGAACTTGGAACAGTGATGCGGTCACTAGGTCAACATCCGACCGAGTCGGACCTCAAAGATATGGTTAACGAAGTCGATACTGATGGTAAGTACAAGGACGCAAAGCAAAAACAAACAAACAAAAACCAAAAAAAACCAACTGTTTTTCTTACCTTTTAGTTAGAATTACAGATACGTCAGTATTTTTCTGCATTTTGTTAGGATCCTAACGTTTATTAAGCATAATTATGTTATTACATGTGAAAAAGCAAAAGTCATAAAACAGGTAACCTTACATTAAACTGTTTCGTTCACTATTATCTTCCACAAAGACCGTTGTATGTTTGTTTGTCCTAAACAAGAAATTATTTAGCAATTACACTGTAACTAAAGGGTGCCCGGCATGATCACGTGAGTCTTGAGTTAGCGATTGCAATATGTCGACACCTGATGTATTTTCCTTATATCTGATCTTATGTTTTTATTGAAAATGTATAAAAAAAATGAAGATATCGAATTATGGTTTAATAAGTGGACCTATATGTAATATATGTACGTTCTTTCATCATCAGTAAAAAAAAGTCAGGTGCATTGTAAATTATAACGCAGAAAAGGAGAAAATTAAAGTTTGCTTTGGTTTAATTTCGTTCATTTAAGGACGTGCCTCCATGTGTGTAGTGTATGCGTGCTTTGATGTGTGTATGCAGGAGACAGGGTATGTTAGTGTAATTGCCTCCTTGTGATAGCGTGAAATCTGATGCCGACTTTATAGTGCCAACTCACTGAAATACCATGCCGAAGACACCCAGCACAGTATTCCGCCCTGTCACCTTATACTGACAACGGGTGAACCAGTTGTTGCCATGCCCATTAATGCTGAACGTTAAGCAGGGAATAACAATTACCATTTTTAAGGACTTTGGTATGTTCCGGCCTGGGGACAGAACCCACTGCCTTCCTCACCTGGGCAAACGCTCAACATTAAGGCAAAAAGTGAGGTGTTGCCAAGCAAGGCGCTAGGAAATAAAAGGTAGTTAGAAGTAGAAAGAAATATAAAGATCCCAAATATTGAATTTGGTGCAGCAGATTTATTTTGATCGCTTTTGTGTCCCCAAATAGAGGACACCAAAGCAAATCCCCGATTCTGCATGGGGTTCACTCATTAGTCGCCTCCTACGATACATGCAGTGGGTAACAGCATGTGTATTCTCTTCCCGATCCCCCACCTGCAGGGGAGGAAGATGAAAGTAACGGTGTATTTTCTCCCGATATCCTTTGCCTAATGCTGTACCTTTTATATCACTTTTCTTTACATGTTTAATAAGTATCACCATGTTCTTTTCTTTAACAGGTAACGGCACAATAGATTTCCCGGAGTTCTTAGCAATGATGGTAAACCAACTTCAAGGTGCCTCGAATGATGAAGAACTTCGCGAGGCGTTCCGAGTGTTTGATAAGGATGGGAACGGGTTAATCAGCGCTGCTGAACTCCGACATGTGATGATAAGTCTAGGGGAAAAACTTACAGAGGAGGAGGTAGACGAAATGATCAAAGAAGCCGATATGAATGGAGATGGACAAATTGATTATGATGGTATGTTTTTAGATTGAAGGTTATCAAAGGTTATAAATAAGTTTTTTTTACCTGATATTTCTGTCTCCCGAAAGCGATAATATCGATAAGATCCGCGATATCACAATTCTAATCCCTGAATTAGATAGTTTAGCAAGAACTTAATTAAATCATAGAAGATTGGCTCTTATTCTTCTGGTGGAAATGCTATCATTGCATCGAAAACACAATAGAATGATTTCCTACTAGCAATAAATAAAACAGGTTTCAAAAATCCGAACATGGTTGAAAAAAATTAACAACGTTCAATATTCTGGGGAGGCGCATTAATCCCTCCATGGTTCACGACATATTTGACTTTTGCCAGTAAGTGTTGGATGTAATTTTCATCCAAATACTACAGCAAATTAGGTTGTTTAAAATGACTAATCACGCATTTCTAAATAACACATGACAAATTGAAAAATGTTTTTTATTTCATTTTCAGAATTTGTCAAAATGATGTTAGGGCCGAAGTGACACGGAGGTCCACAAATAAGAAACGTCTAGTCTGATCATCGGCCGTGATCTACAAAAAAACAAACATTGTATGGATTATCAAAATGGTATTTGTTGATTAAATGATGGAATCTTTAAACAGTAATTTATGCAATCATAGAAAAAACACCTTCAGGGGGTAATCAATGAGTACGCATCACTAAGTGATTTAAAACAATGGACGAACAGTTGATAAATTCGAGCCAGATCTTTGGTTGTAATTTATTCTACAATTTGCATTCAAAAGAAATATATTTTCTTGAAAAGGGTCAACATCAGCTAATATAGTCTTCATTCAAACACCAGATACATTTATCAGTCTTCATATCACCCATGAGATGTATGTGTACGTGTGTCGTACAGCCAGTTTATAGTGTATATGTGGTGAGAATAAATGACCAAGGAACCGGCCAGGATTCAATCCAGTTGTTTAATTATTGTATGTCATGAAATTAAAATATTATCTCTATAAGTGATATATGTGTGTGTTATAGTTGTCGTCTTAATCTGAACACTAACTTTACAATGCAAAATATCTATTAAAAACAAAAGACAAAAACAAGACGGAAAAAAAAAAAATTGCAATATTATTTTCTTTATCTTAGTGCGTCGGTTGTTTCTGGTTCGTATCAAATTCGGTTTGGGTTTAATTTATATTTTAATAAGCTATCGAATATCTTTTATGACGTTGGTAGCTTGACAGAATTGAATGGTCACCGCTCCCTGATATGATTTCATAACTGTTTTCTTCCCTTCAGACGGACGTATCCACCATTTTGTCATAAGAAAAACATTTCTGAACCTGCCCTTTACTGAATTCCTCTTATACATGTACTACCTAGACCTTAACATAAACTTAGTGTGGTGTATGTCAGGGCCCTCTTAATAACCGTTTAAATTTATATCCCCAAACCATTTACAAAAGAGTGTCCTGTTATATAATCTGTTTCCTTTACAATATGCCCGGTATCCCGTTGTATGCCCGGGACCTCTACATTACTGTATCCCATTGTATGCCCAGGGCCTCTACATAACTGTATAACATTGTATGCCCATGACCTCTACATTGCTGTATCCCTTTGTATGCCCGGGACCTCTACATTACTGTATCCCATTGTATGGTCGGGGTTTCTATATTACTGTATTCCGTTGTATGACCGGGACCTCTACATTACTGTATCACATTGTATGCCCGGGACCTATTCATTACTGTATTCCGTTGTATGCCCGGAACTTATTCATTACTGTATTCCATTGTATGCCCGGGACCTCTACGTTACTGTATTCCATTGTAGCCCGGGACCTCTACATTACTGCATTCCGTTGTATGCCCGGGACCTATTCATTACTGAATTCCGTTGTATGCCCGAAACGTATCCCATTTTATGCCCAGGGCCTCTACATTATTGTATTCCGTTGTATGCCCGAAACCTATTCATTACTGAATTCCGTTGTATTCCCGGGACCTATTCATTACTGTATTCCGTTGTATGCCCGGGACCTATTCATTACTGTATTCCGTTGTATTCCCGGGACCTATTCATTATTGTATTCCGTTGTATGCCCGGGACGTCTACATTACTGTATTCCATTGTATGACCGATATCTCTACATTACTATATCCCGCGGTATGCCCGGGGCCTCTACATTGCTGTATCCCACTGTATCGCCGGGGGCCTCTACTTCCCTTTATCCAATTGTATGCCCGGGACCTCTACATTACGGTATCCTGTTGTATGCCCGGGGCCTCTACATAACTGTATAACATTGTATGCCCATGACCTCTACATTACTTTATCCCGATGTATGCCCGGAACCCCTACATTACCGTATCTCATTGCATGCCCCGGGACTCTACATTGCTGTATCCCTTTGTATGCCCGGGACCTCTATTTTACTGTATTCCATTGTATGGTCGGGGTTTCTATATTACTGTATTCCGTTGTATGACCGGGACCTCTACATTATTGTATCACATTGTATGCCCGGGATCTATTCATTACTGTATTCCGTTGTATGCCCGGAACTTATTCATTACTGTATTCCATTGTATGCCCGGGACCTCTACATTACTGTATTCCGTTGTATGCCCGGGACTTCTACACTATTGCACTCCGTTGTATGCCCGAAGCCTATTCATTACTGAATTCCGTTGTATGCCCGGGACCTCTACATTACTGTATTCCGTTGTATGCCCGGGACTTCTACACTATTGCACTCCGTTGTATGCCCGAAACCTATTCATTACTGAATTCCGTTGTATGCCCGGGACCTCTACATTACTGTATTCCGTTGTATGCCCGGGACCTATTCATTACTGTATTCCGTTGTATGCCAGGAACCTATTCATTACTGTATTCCGTTGTATGCCCGGGACCACTACATTACTGTATTCCGTTGTATTCCCGGGACCTATTCATTATTGTATTCCGTTGTATGCCCGGGACGTCAACATTACTGTATTCCATTGTATGACCGGGATCTTTACATTACGTATCCCGTTGTATGCCCGGGAACTCTACATTACGGTTTCTCATTGTATGACCGGGATCTCTACATTACTGTTTTCCATTGTATGCCCGGGACCTCTACATTACTGTATTCCGTTGTATGCCCGGGACCTCTACATTATAGTATTCCGTTGTATGCCCGAAACCTATTCCTTACTGTATTCCGTTGTATGCCCGGGACCTATTCATTACTGTATTTCTTTGTATGCCCGGGACCTATTCATTACTGTATTCCGTTGTATGCCCGGACCTATTCATTACTGTATTTCGTTGTATGCCCGGGGGACCTATTCATTACTGTATTCCGTTGTATGCCCGGGACCTCTACATTACGGTATCGCATTGTATGCCCGGGGACTCTATATTACTGTATCACATTGTATACCCGGGCCTCTACATTGCTGTATCCCGTTGTATGCCCGGTACCATTACATGACTGTATCACATTGTATGCCCCGGCCTCAACATTGCTGTATCCCGTTGTTTGGCCGGGGCCTCTACATTGCTGTATCCCGCTGTATGCCCGGGACCTCTACATTACGGTATCTCATTGTATGCCCGGCGATTCTACATTACTGTTACAAATTGTATGACCACAGCCTCTACACAAGTGTATCACATCATTGTATGCCCGGGCCTCTACATTGCTGTATCCCGTTGTATGCCCGAGACCATTACGTTACTGTATCACATTGTATGCCCGGGACCTCTACATTGCTGTAATTCACTGTATCGCCGGGGCCTCTACTTTTCTTTATCCAATTGTATGCCCGGGACCTCTACATTACGGTATCCTGTTGTATGCCCGGGGCTTCTACATTACTGTATCCAATTGTATGTCCGGGGCCTCTTCATTACTGTATTCTATTGTATGCCCGGGGCCTCTACATAACTGTATAACATTGTATGCCCATGACCTCTACATTACTTTATCCCGATGTATGCCCGGAACCCCTACATTACGGTATCTCATTGTATGCCCCGGGACTCTACATTGCTGTATCCCTTTGTATGCCAGGGGCCTCTACATTACTCTATCCCATTGTATGGTCGGGGTTTCTATATTACTGTATTTCGTTGTATGACCGGGACCTCTACATTACTGTATCACATTGTATGCCTGCCACCTATTCATTACTGTATTCCGTTGTATGCCCGGAACTTATTCATTACTGTATTCCATTGTATGCCCGGGACCTCTGTATTACTGTATTCACCTCTACATTACTTTATCCCGATGTATGCCCTTCCGTTGTATGCCCGGGACCTCTACCTTACTGTATTCCGTTGTATGCCCGGGACCTATTCATTACTGTATTCCGTTGTATGCCCGGGACCTCTACATTATTGTATTCCGTTGCATGCCCGAAACCTATTCATTACTGAATTCCGTTGTATGCCCGGGACCTATTCATTACTGTATTCCGTTGTATGCCCGGAACTTATTCATTACTGTATTCCATTGTATGCCCGGGGCCTCTTCATTACTGTATTCCATTGTATGCCCGGGACCTCTGCATTACTGTATTCCATTGTATGCCCGGGGCCTCTGTATTACTGTATTCCATTGTATGCCCGGGGCCTCTTCATTACTGTATTCTATTGTATGCCCGGGGCCTCTACATAACTGTATAACATTGTATGCCCATGACCTCTACATTTATCCCGATGTATGCCCGGAACCCCTACATTACGGTATCTCATTGTATGCGCGGCGATTCTACATTACTGTAACAAATTGTATGCCAAGAGCCTCTACATAAGTGTATCACATTGTATGCCCGGGCCTCTACATTGCTGTATCCCGTTGTATGCCCGGTACCATTATATTATGTATCGCCGGGGCCTCTACTTTTCTCTATCCAATTGTATGCCCGGGACCTCTACATTACTGCATTCTGTTGTATGCCCGGGACCTCTACATTACTGCATTCTGTTGTATGCCCGGGACCTCTACATTAATGTATTCCGTTGTATGCCCGGGACCTATTCATTACTGTATTTCTTTGTATGCCCGGGACCTATTCATTACTGTATTCCGTTGTATGCCCGGGACTTCTACATTACGGTATCGCATTGTATGCCCGGGGACTCTATATTACTGTATCACATTGTATGCCCTGGCCTCTACATTGCTGTATTTCGTTGTACGCCCGGTACCATTACATTACTGTATCACATTGTATGCCCGGGCCTCTACATTGTTTTATCCCGTTGTATGCCCGGTACCTCTACATTACGGTATCTCATTGTATGCGCGGCGATTCTACATTACTGTAACAAATTGTATGCCAAGAGCCTCTACATAAGTGTATCACATTGTATGCCCGGGCCTCTACATTGCTGTATCCCGTTGTATGCCCGAGACCATTACGTACTGTATCACATTGTATGCCCGGGGCTTCTACATTGCTGTATCCCGTTGTATTGCCGGGGCCTCTACATTACTGTATCCCAAAGTATGGACGGGGCCTCTACATTTATGTATCCCGATTTATGCCCGGGGCCTCTACATTGCGGTATCCCATTGTATGCCCGGGACCTCTACATAACTGTATCCCTTTGTATGCCCGGTGCCTCTACATTGCGGTATCCTATTGTATGCCCGGGACCTCTACATAACTGTATCCCTTTGTATGCCCGGGGCCTCTACATAACTGTATAAAATTGTATGCCCATGACCTCTACATTACTTCATCCCGATGTATGCCCGGAACCCCTACATTACGGTATCTCATTGTATGCCCCGGGACTCTATATTACTGTATCACATTGTATGCCCCGGCCTCTACATTGCTGTATTCTGTTGTATTCCCGGGACCTATTCATTATTGTATTCCGTTGTATGCCCGGGACGTCTACATTACTGTATTCCATTGTATGACCGGGATCTCTACATTAGGTATCCCGTTGTATGCCCGGGAACTCTACATTACGGTTTCTCATTGTATGACCGGGACCTCTACATTACTGTATTCCATTGTATGTCCGGGACCTCTACATTACTGTATTCCGTTGTATGCCCGGGACCTCAACATTACTGTATTCCGTTGTATGCCCGGGACC